TTTTTTATCAAATATATAATTTTTTTATATCATTTTATATTTATCAGTAATATATTAAATATCTTCGATTAATTGGTTAATTTATAGGTTTTTAATTTTTTAACTTTTAATTTATACTTTATAAACTTTTAGTTAAATTTTGTAAACACTACCCTAAAAACAATTCGTAATTAGTTAATGATGTAAAATTTATACATTATCAAAATTACTTTTAATATTGTTACACCTAAGTAAGTAATGCTCTTAATACGGAATATAATGCATAGAATAATATTATAGATACAACAATTTGTGTAACAATATTTTTATATTTATATCTCTTCATTATCTCTTTATAATATATATAATCTAAATACGAAGGGTGGAGGGATCTAATGAGTGGAGAGGATAATAACTTCCAATCATATTGGTGGAAGGACTTAAGAAGAGTATGCAAAAATAAGGATGAGGAACAATGGTATGAAAGATTATACCAATTGAATGTTATGGATGGTCAAAAGACTCTATTTTAGGAAGACCCATGGTCGAACCAGGAACCACTAGCAGCAATCTATCCTAGAATCTATTTGAATTCTACTAAAAAACAAACCAGAATACATTCAATGGGACATTGGAATGATGGGGAGTGGAACTAGGACTTTGGGTGGAGAAGAAACTGGTTAGGGAAGGACTCTAAGCAGTGGGAGGATCTACAAAATAGACTACAAGGGTTACAATTTGACAGTCATAAAAAGGACTACTGGAAATGGTTGCCAGGAAATACTCAAGCATATACTGTGAAGTCCACCTATGGTAAATTACTATCTTGGAAAGTTGGGTCAAAAGAGGTACCTTTCCTAAAAGAGTGGTGGTCACTTAAACCCACCCCCCCCCCCCTCCTTAAGGCAAAAATACTAACATGGAGAATGTACTTTGAGGGCCTACCAACTATAGATAACTTGAAAAAGAGGAACATACAGATAACTCAGAATGAGGAAAGATGCATGTTCTATCTTGAGGAAACAGAAACAACAACACACTTATTTTTTCACTATAGCAAGGTTGATCAGGTTTGGAAATTGTTACAAGTGAGCCAATTTTAATATGGTATTACCAGCAACTGCAATTCAACACTTCCAACAACTTCCAAGACACAGCTACAAAAATAAGCAAACATCAAGATGGAAAATAATGTGGATGGTAATTGTCTACAATATTTGGATGACAAGAAACAATAATATCTTCAGAGGGCTGGGAATTGATACAACAATTGGAGTAGAAAATCATATTTACAACTTGGTCATGGCTAAATGGATAAAGATTTTCCATTCAATTATGTGCAGTGGTAGACAACACCATGGGTATGCATTACAGAAGATGAAGGATAATGATAGGAAGACTTACAAAAGGGACACCAGGAACGACACAAGAGGTAACAACCTGAGTGGTTGAGTGGAAAAAAGGGTTCTATACAAGGGCATTAACTGATTGGTGGAAAACAAATGAGAGTGAATGCCAACTACTCTTATCTTAACGGCGGATTCGGGATTCATGGTTTTGCTTTGCAATGTTGGGTCAAATTTACTTTTAAGTAAGATAGTAAGATTTTATTTGATTAGTAGATAATTTGGTTAGTTAATCTAAATTACCCCTAACCAATACCTTGTAATTAATATGGGATTATGGCACCTCTAGTGCCACAATATAATTTTATTTGGCCATTTTAAAAAAAAAATCTTTTTATTATTTCATTTATTATTATAAAAAATATATATATTATTAATGATAGAAATTAGAAATAAACATTAAAATAATATTTTACAAATTTTTGTACAATTTTTATTACATGTGGTCTTCCTCTTGCTATAATACATAAAGTGCACTTTCCCATGGTTTCGAAAGAGAAGCGAAGTTCTCAATAAGGCCCCTTTTTGTCCTTGGTCGGTGGAGTGTCACGCTAATGCACAGTTTCATCATGTTGCTGTTTTCGATTTTCCTTGCAAGTCACCCACGGCATTAATCCCACTATAGAAAACCCCAACCTATTGCCCCAACCTCACGCTACAAATACCCTTCCACACTCCACCACTCGTGAATACCATCTCATTGCATTCGATCACATCCAACCCCACTTCCCAAAAAGCCTTAACCAAAGGTTCCCTTCTATAGCTGCACCAAAAAATGGAGGGTAGAGAAGAGGATGTGAGAGTTGGAGCCAACAGGTACGGAGAGAGGCAACCCATAGGAACCGCTGCACAGGGCCAACATGCCAAAGACTACAGAGAGCCACCCTCTGCGCCCTTCTTCGAGCCTCGCGAGTTTTCATCGTGGTCTTTCTATAGGGCTGGCATAGCAGAGTTTGTGGCCACCTTCTTGTTCCTTTACATCACGGTTTTAACTGTCATGGGTGTCGCCAAATCCAAGACCAAGTGTTCCACCGTTGGTGTCCAAGGCATCGCTTGGGCTTTTGGCGGCATGATCTTTGCTCTTGTTTATTGCACTGCTGGCATCTCAGGTAAATTTAATGTTGTCTTGTTTTTTTATAACATGTTCTAGTTGATCATTTTTGGAAAGTAATATTTGTTATTAATGAGAAAATTGATTGTTGCTATAACCGTTGTCAGCTACTAAGATTACTCGTTTGACTCTTTAATTAATTGTTCTCTCTTGAGGAGTCGGATTGAGTTATATGATGAAATTCAAGGGCTAAGTGAAATAGCTATACATAGGTACAAAAGTCTACACATTTTTTAGAGTTGTGTTGAGTAAAATACATAAAGTAGTCAAAATTCTATATTTATTTTTCTTTGAATAAATATTAAATAGGTAAAATTTTATCAATGTTTTTAAAATGTCTAAAACGGAATAAACCAAAAACTTGTCATGATTTCATGTATGTGAAATTTAACATGAAGGCATACCTTTTCATATACCAAGAGATCAATAAGAGTTGTAAATTGTGATGTTTTCAAAAAGGGATCTATCTCAATTACTATTGAGCATGATACGTGTGAGTTGTTATAAATTTTTAAGTATTAAATTTGATTTTCACAATAGACAAAAAGAAAATTGTAACGTGAATTCAATTACGAGTACAACAACAAAGCCTTATCCTATTGACACATGCTCACATAGATCATAAGACTCACATTAATCATATACGACACTATTTCACTCAGTTAAAAGCTAAAGTTTTAAGTATAATACTAATCATAAGATCTTATTTAACGACTTCTTGTGTATCTTTTAGTCTCATCTTCTTCCTCTTTACACGACTAAATTACATGTGTGCCTATCCAGAAAATACTATGGACAATGGAGTAATCTCCCTAAACTCATTTCCTAATATAGTTTGTGTGAATTTGCTAATGCAGGGGGTCATATTAACCCAGCAGTGACGTTTGGACTATTCTTGGCACGTAAGCTCTCTCTGACAAGGGCAATTTTCTACATAATTATGCAGTGCTTGGGTGCTATTTGTGGGGCCGCTGTAGTTAAGGGGTTCCAGCCACACCAGTATGAGAGGCTTGGTGGTGGTGCAAACACACTCAGTAAAGGGTACACCAAAGGTGATGGCCTTGGAGCAGAGATTGTTGGCACATTTGTGCTTGTTTACACTGTCTTCTCTGCCACTGATGCCAAAAGAAATGCTAGAGATTCCCATGTTCCAGTAAGCACAATGTTTTTGTTTTCCTTCTTAATATGCACCTTCTCAATTCATCAAGTTATATCATATTATTCTATTGATGAGCTATAATATAAGTTGTGTTATGATAATAAATCTAATCATATAAATCTGAATGGATCAGATTTTGGCACCACTACCTATTGGTTTTGCTGTATTTCTGGTGCATTTGGCTACAATTCCTATCACAGGTACAGGTATCAACCCTGCTAGAAGTCTAGGTGCAGCCATTGTATACAACAAGGACCAAGCTTGGGATGACCATGTGAGTCTTCTTCACTCTTAACTTTGTTTAGGTTTTCTCTTCCTTTTCTTTTTCTTAATTTCCTTTATGGTGTTTGAATGAAAAATTTAAAAAATTTAAAGAATTTGAAAGTTTTAAAATTTAAATTACTTTGATTTCAATTTTCATCATTTTTAAGATGTTTTATTTAAATAAATCAATTCAAATTTTTAAATTTTTAGTTTAAATATGATAATTTTATTTCTATAATAGATAAAATTAATTTTAAATATATATATTAAGATTAAATTTTATAAAAATAAATATTAATCTATTTTAAATTATTTAATAGTTTTAAAAATTAATTAGAGATAACAATTAACAACTTAAGAATTATTTTTTGAATATTCAATAATAAAAAATTATTAATATTTTTTATGTTGATATTTAAAAAGAGGTGAAAGAGGTAAGAGGAAAAAGAGAAGAGATGACAAAATGAAAACAGGGAGAGACGAAGAGAAAAGAGAAATAGAGGTGTGAGAGAGAGAGGGGAAAGAGAGAGAGAGAAAGAAAAGAAATAGGGAGAGAGAGAAGAGAAGGGAAAGGAGAAAAAATATAGAATATGAGTATGAAGGATAAAATAGAGAGAGAAAAAATATAAAAGATAAAAAAAAATAAGAAAAAGAGACAAAAAATATAAATTAAATAAAAATTTTAAAATTTTACCTTTTTAAGGAGAATTTAAAATTTTATTATTTTATAGAATTTTATAAATATTTGAATTTCAAACTTTTTGTAAATTTTTTGTTTAAATAAGATATTTTACCTCAAAATATTTAAAATTTTATAAAATTATTTCATTTAAATTTTTATCCAAAAATACTGTTATATTCATATATTTTATCTATAGCTCTAGTAAGATAGAATACACTGATTATTCATAAGAGAAAAATAAAAGTTTATAATTTCGCACAATACATTATTGCGGTGCAGTGGATTTTTTGGGTAGGGCCTTTCATTGGGGCAGCACTTGCAGCTCTGTACCATCAAGTAGTGATTAGGGCCATTCCCTTCTCGTCGAAGTGATGCAACATTTATGATGACTTTGAATCAATGCCTGAAAAATAAAGTAGAAACTAATTGAGTCCAAGCCAGGATTCCCATGTAAAAGATGTTCCTATCACTTCTGCTAATGATTTTCCATTACTATTATTAATTTATATATAATTTACCCGTTATGTATTTGGAGATGCAATCCAACTTCATTAATTACCGAAATAGTATGGTATATGCATGGTTTATTTTTCTTTATTAAATAACAGATATATTTGCTAGAGTATAATATAGTGTATGCAAGTAAGTTGTATAATTGTGTTATCATGTTCAATAATCAACCTTCCGTTGTTTGAAGTTAATTTTATGTTATAATTAAGTTTTACGGGTCCGTAAGTCCAGCATACTTTGGAGGGCTCAGTTGAGGCAAATTACTAGCAAAAATCTTGATAAATTTTGAATATAAATTATTTTTCAACATTGTAATGAGATGAATTATGTAATCGAATTACCGTAAATTGATGATTGGAAAGTTAAGTATAGAAATATGAAATTTGAAAGACTAAGTTCAACTACATACATTAGCCGGTCAATGTACGCAACTAAGAGTTAAAAATGGTGCCTGCCTTTTGTTTGTTTTTGTTTTTTTTCCCCCATAAACCAGTAGTCTCTCAACAGCTTAGAAAATGAAAAGAAAAAAAAGGAAAAGATTAAAAAGGAAATGGAGGAGGATATTATTCTTGATTATGTCATTTTAGTATATTAAAAAAAGACTAGTAATACATTTAGTGAATTTTGGTTTCAAATGAATTTCATTATTAGTTATTAAATTAATTGTTAGTTGTTTAAAATAATTTGATAGATATAGATAAATTGATCGAGAATATAGAAGAAATTAAAAAATAAAAGTAGAATACAAATACTAGTCTCATGTACAAAATATAACCTTCAACAACAATATATAAAAATAAAAAATAAAACATAAAATAAATACAAATAATAAAATAAAAATATCTATAGGCCTTCATACTAAGGTGCACATTTATGTCTGTGTAAATATCTTTTGTATTTACTTGTAAGTAGAGCCGTCAAAGTGAGTTTTGTCTCATGGACCAATTTGACACACCTTGAAAATGGTTGGACTAGGTCAAAAAATGAGGAAAAAATCATAATGGGTCAAAAAATGTAACCCGATCTACTTTCGACCCAGTTCACCCAGATTGAATCCGTGGTAGGCCAAACTACTCACCTGACCCACTTTCACCCCATCAACCCAACTTACTAACAATCCACTTAACCATTTATTATTATATATGTATTATTTTAACAAGATACCATTATTTTTTGTAGATGAAGATAAAGTCAATGTTAAACAATATAAAATTGCTATAAATTTATCTACTCAAGCCTCCAATGAAATTTAATATTGATGAATAATCACTCTTATGAAAATATTTTTATTTTTATTTTTTTATTATTTAAAGTTATACACTTTTTAATTTAAGTTTAATGTTGTATGCATGATACTTAATTTGACAATTTTTACTTTAGATTAGAGATTATTTTACATTAAAATTTATTTTAAATAAATTTAAAAAATAGGTGGGTTGGTGGATCAACCCGTTTAGCCCACTAACCCGTGGTGGGCCGAGTCGAATTAAAAAATTTTGGACTTTAAAATTGGTGGTTTGAACTGGGTCAACATATTTAAAAAATGAGTTGAGGTGGATCGAGTCAAGCAAATCGGACTGACTCATTTTGACAATTCTACTTATAAGTAACTAAATTAGAATAGGGATCACAACGATAAAATTTTAACATATAAGAATTGATTTGTATATATTTATCATTTATAAAATATTATTAAAGATACAAGTTTATAAAATTTATACATAGAAACAAAGTTTTACCACCAAAATAATCCTACCCAATTTAAAAGGATTGTCTCCCATTGAAATGATACATGTTTAAATATATATATATAT